CTGCTTTTAAAAGATTGAATCTCAAAGGAGCCTTTTCAGTGTAACTTTTTATGCAGAACAGCACTGTTCTGCTTCGTTAAGTAAAATATCAACATTATCACTCTGCAATCCCCATTAATCCTGTTGCTTATTCAAACTGTACACTTCCCAGGGGCCCCATCTCTGATTGCCCCGCCTGGCCTCCGTCTTACTAAACTCTTCTGCATTTGGGGCACAGCCCAAGGTACCATGTGGTCATGAATTATGTTGGAGATTATTCTCTAAAATTTTTTTAAACAAATTAACTTTCTTTTGTGTGGTTCTTAGCAATGTGGCCGATCCTCCAAAGTCCTATATGAAATGTTTTATAGACTGAAAGACACAGATACACAGATATGGAGAAGAGCACAGAAAGAGACATACCAGGTAATTATTTGATGGTGAGGGTAGAGAAGAGAGGCAATAGACAAAACAGTAAAAATTAAAAGTTTGAAAATAAAAATTCTTTAAAAAACTACATATTCCATGCCATATAAAATTATGATTCTATTTAAAGAAATTTTGAAAAAAAATTACAAATTAAAAGTTGTATAAATTCATTTACAAGGCTCGTTTTTGCTATCCAATGAATAGACTGCAAATTATCCTATAAGTTAATACGACATTTTTAACAATATCTTTGTAAAAATGCAAGAGAGAAGAGAAAAGGTACAGAAGGACATAAACCACATCTTTAACATAGGTTATCTGACAACAGTTAGAGACATTTAACATTTGTGGTGGGCTAAATCAAAGCTATTACTGGTGACTATCTCCTATATTCTCCCTTTTGTGCCTGTTCTCTTACTCACCACGGGAGTGTTTGGTTGAGAAGTTAATCTCTTGGTATGACTACCAGTCCCAGCCTCGGCATTCTCTGATGCATTTCTTGGCATGGCTGAGAGTGAAGCAACTGACATGTCATTGTACTAGTCAAATGTCCCTGTTGTATCTGGTAGGCGGTAGGCTTGGAACATAAGTGCTAAAGTTTTGTGGTGTGTAGTGAATTTTCGAAGTGTCAGCCCTAAGATATGGGCAAGGGTTGCTGGTCAGAGGACAGCAGGATATACTCAAATCAAGGATGGGTTACATTGGTAGTGCTTAGAGCCAAATCACAGCTGAAGTATTACTCCCTCCCATCACTGTGTCTGGGAAGGAAGAGCTCCATGGATAGAATGGGTCACCACTTGAGTGACAAGAGTTCAGCCTATAAAATGACTGCAAAGCAAATACAGCAAATCGTTTCAGTAAAGAGTCTGACTTACTGATAGCTATTAAAAAAAACAACAAAATTGTTTTGAGCAAAGCCCAAAAAATGAATTTGAAAGTTTTTTACATGAACATAAGAAGCTATTAGGTATTCATAAGACTTAACATGTTAAATTACTTTAAAAGCCAAAAATTATACTTTAACAAGACACAAAAATAGTTCTTAAAAATTACCTATTATTAAGGTAATTGAAAATCTGTAGTGCATTTAGACATCATTAAGATTGATAAGGGGGCCCGGCGCAGTGGCCCAAGTGGATAAGGTCCTCCCCTTGCACGCCCGGGATCCCATATGGGCACCGGTTCTATCCCAGCAGCCCCACTTCCCTTCCAGCTCCCTGCCTGTGGCCCGGGAAAGCAGTCAAGGACAGCCCAAAGCTTTGGGACCCTGCACCCATGTGGGAGACCCGGAAGAGGCTCCTGGCTTTGGACTGGCATAGCATCAGCCGTTGCGCTCACTTGGGGAGTGAATCATCAGATGGAAGATCTTCCTCTCTGTCTCTCCTCTCTGTATATCCGCCTTTCCAATAAAAATAATAAAAATAAATCTTTAAAAAAAAAAGATTGATAAGAGAGGGCCAGGAGCAATGGCTCGATGGCTGAATCTTTGCCTTGCAAGCTCTGGGATTCCAAGCAGATGCTGGTTCATGTCCTGACTGTTCCACTTCCTTTCCAGTTCCCTTCTTGTAGACTGGGAAAGTAGTAGAAGATGTCCCAAGACTTTGGAACCATGTACCTGTTTGGGAAACCCAGAGGAAGCTCCTGGCTCCTGGATTCGGATTGGGTCAGCTCTGGCCACTGCAGCCACTTCGGGAGTGAATCAGCAGATAACAGATCTTTCTCTTTCTCTGACTTTCCAATAAAAATAAATAAATCTTTTAAAAAACAAAAAAATTAAGAAGAGAGCAAAACTTGTCTTAAAATATTTCCTCTAACCACCATGATTTATGCACATGAACATGTTTATACACACACATATTGATTGCATCTTTTCACAAACTCAGAATAGTTTAATGAATCTTACTATTTTGTAATGGCTTCTTAGAAAGGAATTGGCCATCTCATTTTATACTACCTGTGTTGGAATACAGGTATTCACTAATTCATTCAAAAAATAGTCACTGCAAATCTACTATGTACTAGGCAGTATGTTTTGTTATAGGACTACATCAGTGAGCAAAAACAGACATTTCTTTCCCTCCTGGAGCCAATATTACACTGGAGAGAAACAGCCGATAAAAACACAAAAACAGCATGTCAGTTGGGGTTCAGAGAGTATAATTGAAGGGGAGAAGGCTGCAATTTTAAACAATGTGGTCAGAGAAGCCTTGGCCTTGATGAGAAGAGGAAACTTGCTCTCAAAGAACTGAAAAAGGGGAAAAGTCAGAACATGTGGGAGAAAAGTTGCAGGGTGAAGAGTTTAACATGAGCATAAGCCCTGGACCAGGCGCACGCTGTTACTTCTCCAATGTCTTCTCCCACTGTTCTGCTCCTCCCTTACTTTACTCCAATTAGGAACTGACCCCTTGTTATTTCTAAAATAATTATACTGGTGAGTAGGGAGCAGGGAGACAGTGAGGCAGTGTAGACTTGCAGAAGCCTCTTGAAGGGGTCTTTCTCACCCTGAAAAGCAGGGGATTATTCTGACAAGGAAAGGAACCCTTGGCAAACAAAACAAAACAAAAAACACCATGACTCCAATAATACTTGGAAGATACGTTTTATATCTGTGCTCTTCATTAAGTAGCCATTACTTACATGAAATTGTTGGGTATTTGCAGTGTGGCTGGTGTTAACTGAGGAACTGAAAGATTAACTGTATTTTATTTTAATAAACTAAAATGGTCAAATGTAGCTACTATCTAGTACATCGGTCAGCACAATCCTCTAGGATTCATTTTTAATAGAGATACTTGATATTTGCAAAGATTTAAGTTGGTCTAATAACAATTCTATGGCCACACCTGGCAATAATGATAACTTTATCATCACAAGGCATATGATAACCATTTTCTGCCATGTGATTCTTTGGCAACTAATTTTAAGTATTGTTTTTAACTACTGTTCAAAGGCTTTCTTACTTCAGTTCTAATGTTTACCTGTGAACAAATTTTTATTGTTGAAAAAAGTTAAACTTTTTCATTGTTTTCATATCAAGTTGTATTTCCTGTTGCTAACTTTTTCTTCTAAATCTGATTTGTTTTCATTTGATATAAATTTACACACAAACGAAAAATAATAAGGCACACATTTATGTGCTATTAAATTCTAACAAAATGAGATCAAACACTGAAGTGTAATTACTAAAATGATTTAAGAACTAGTTTTTGGAGACTGGTAGTCACATGTCTATTTTTCACAAAATAAAGTATCAGAAAGAGATACTCCTATTTCAATATGTGCAAGATTAACCTTCAAAAATCACATTAAACTGTTTAAAAGCATATGGTTCTAAAACAAAGGCACGTGCAGACACACTACACTAAAAAAATTACTACTAAGCAACACAAGAAAATTGTGTATTTTAGAATTTCTACATTTGAATCAACAGCACCCAGAGACGATGAAAGCCAGTTACTAAAAAATTTATTGCTTGGTAAAAACTCAGTTTACAATTCAAAGGAGTTTTAAAATCTCTGTGCTGTTATGAAGCTTTATGGGGTTTACAGTGGAGATGAAAACAGAAATAAAAAGATCTGACAAACAGAAAATGCCATAGATATTTCCAGCATTATCAGCATGGATTCCCCCACACTACCCCACCATTACTGTCTACCTTATTCCAACACAACTGATTTTAACTCATCTGCCTGAAAAGACAACTGGGTTTTCTAGGATCCTTTTCTAAATGTTAATGTTTAATTAACAAAGCTGAAAAGAATATAATTTTTATGACTTGAGAAAACAAACTAGAATGTAAACTCTCTGAGGGCAGGAATTTTTGCTAAGAATTCCCAATGCCATGAACAGCGCCTGGCATATACTACATAGCCAGTAAATACTTACTGGACTAATAACCTGACCAGAGTTTTTAACTATAATAAAAAATCCAAATTATATCATTTGTATAAATATGAACCGAGATAACCGAGAGTCAGTGTACGTAAAAGACTTTCTCATGTTACCACTGAAACATAAATAAAGCCCCTTTTAAAGCATAGAGTAAATTACAGAATGAGTCAAAGGTTTTTCATATGTACTATATCTATGCCCCTTCCCAAAATTCACTTATTTGAATTATGAACTAGAACTGTATAAGAAAAACCTAGAACCTATTCAAGTGGAATGTCACAGAATATTAAAATATTATTTGGATTACTATAGAAATGTATCATCCTGGATTATTCATTCTCTTATATCTTTTAAAGAGTATTCTCTAGCTTTCTGCTTAGCCTCCTTTTATAATACTGTCAAACCCTTTACTTTCAAAATAAAATGGAGATGTTACATAATAAACTGTACTGTGATTTTTAAATTTTATGCAAGAAGGGAAGATTCATTTTAAAAGTAAAATCTAACATGCCTTGGAAAATACTGAGATGGAATGTTTGCTGAAATGCTGTTTACTGCAAAAGTTCCAATGTTTGATCAACTAACACTGAAGTTTAAATTAGGCCTAAACTCAGGAAATTGATCTTCATAATATTTTAAAGTGATGTTTGTCTTTATAAGGTAGTGGTCTCCTAAGAAAGATTTAAATGCCCTTGACTTACAGTCAGATTTCGATCCCAGATCTGGATGCTTCCATTCTGGCAGGCAGCTGCGACAAGGTTTCCATCTCTACTATATGTGCAAGTCGTGGGAATCACTTTTTTACCCTGCACTGTCCGTGGTTTAAACACACTTTTCTGCTTCTTTGGATTTTCAACTTCCCATAGCCTTACAGTCCTAAAAAGAAAGAGATGCTCATTTACAAAAGAGGATTTTAAAACAGGGAAGACTCCGTAAGCAGTGCCTCATCTTTTTAATACACATATCTAAAAATCACGTCAAGATAAAACAAGACATGATCCATGGAACATGTACCATTTATAGATGAGGTTACCAGCAGAAATAATGTGAGCCATTTACTTCAAATTTATCAGTTACTAGCTCAGACCCTCTCAAGTGGTGATTGCCAATTTCTCCTTAACTTATGTCCAGATCAGTAAAACCGTAACCTGCAACATGTACAAGAACATTCAACCTCAAATAATTACTTTAACTGAAAATAATTTAAAGCTTCAATTAGAAGGAAAAAATTTAAATACAGCATGTCATAAATATGTCGGTAGGGGCAGGTGCACCACCTACTGTGTCAGCATCCCATATGGGACAGGTCTAGCTCCTGTTACTAGTTACTGTGCTCATTTGGGAACTGAACCAGCAGACAGAAGTCAGTCTCTCTCTCTCTCTCTCTCTCTCTCTCTCTCTCTCTCTCTCTGTGCTTTAACTCTGCTTTTCAAATAAACAAACCTTAAAGAAATAAGTACATAGGCACACAGGTTATTTGTTTTCTTCACTGATTGAAACAAGTTAAAACAGAAGGAAGGAAAAAGAATAAATTGCAAACAATACAAAAACTACATCAGGGCCCAGCAGCTAAAGTCCTTGCCTTGAACGCGCTGGGATCCCATATGAGCACCAGTTCTAATCCCAGCAGCTCCACTTCCCACCCAGCTGGCTCCTGACTTCGGATCGGCACAGCACCAGCCGTTGCGCTCACTTGGGGAGTGAATCATCAGATGGAAGATCCTCCTCTCTGTCTCTCCTCCTCTCTGTATATCTGACTTGCCAATAAATAAATAAATCTTTAAAAAAAAACCATCAACATCAGACAAGTTTCAAAACAAGAATATAATCAGAGGCAAAAAGTAAAATTACATAATAATCAAGACTCAGTTGGTCAAGATATATAACAACTCTAAATGCATGTGCTTCTCATTACAGACTTTCAAAATACAAGAGTCAATTTGATGGAACCAACAGCATACACCCACATAGCTCAAGATTTGCAGAAACTGTTAGGAAAGAATATGCGGGCCTGGCGCCATAGCCTAGCAGCTAAAGTCCTCGCCTTGAACGCGCCAGGATCCCATATAGGCGCCGGTTCTAATCCTGGCAGCTCCATTTCCCTTCCAGCTCCCTATTGTGGCCTGGGAAAGCAGCTGAGGATGGCCTAAAGCTTTGCGGCCCTGCACCCGTGTGCGAGACCTAGAAGAGGTTCCTGGTTCCTGGCTTTGGATCGGCGCAGCACCGGCAGTTGCGCTCACTTGGGGAGTGAATCATCAGGCGGAAGATCTTCCTCTCTGTCTCTCCTCCTCTCTGTATATCTGACTTTGTAATGAAAATAAATAAACATAAAAAAAAAGAATATGCAACAACTTCCTCAATCAATAAGCACATAGGACACCTAGAAAGGAATATCATCTGACTTGAGCCGATGTTCTTGCACAGCAAGTAGATTTACATTACTTTCACGTGCACAGAGAATGTACATCAAGACAGGCCAACCATGGGACCATTAAGGAAAAAGGCTGAAACTATACAAAGTGCATACACTATCAAAAACTAATAAACAATAATATCTAGAAATATATACCAAAATATTTAGAATTAAGGCAATATATTTCTAAATGATCCATGGGACAAACAAAAATCATCGAGGATACTACACAATTCTTTTAATGTAATAAACATGTGAATACAATGTCTCAAAAGTAACACCGTTCCGCTAAAGCAATACACAGGACAGCATCAACTGCAACGTTAACGGGGGAGAAGAATATCCTCAAACCAACTTCCAGAGGCAATCTTCAGAAACTGATTTAAAGGGGATGGCAAGATAAAACCCAAATCAGCAGAAGGAGAAATAACAGAATGAATGAAACAGAAAAATTGGAAAAGAGAGAGAGAGAGAGAGAGAAAGATAAGTCCAGAGTTGATTATTTGGGGCAGTGAACCAGTGAATGAGAGATTTTCTCACTTTGCCTCTCCTTTGTAAATCGGCCTCTCAGATCAAAATAAACAAATCTTTAAAAAAAATAAATAATGCAAAAAATTTACAAACACTACATCATTATTTCTTTTGTTATTGAATACAATTCCACCACATAAATAAAGGAAGCAGAATGTCTGGTCTGTGGGCAATGTTAAGGTGCACTATATCATGTGGTCTGACCCTGTCAGGGTAAGTGTAAGCAAAACTCAAAATTCAATACACCTATAGCATGCTCATTTAATGTAAATAGCTCCTTTTTGTCCCATGCATGATGGTATAAATACCAAAATGGTTCTTTAAAAAGGTCCCAACACAGGAAAAGCACATTTTACTCATTCATTTTTTTTTCTCCTAGATTAAACAACTTGAAAACAGACAGTTGGTCTTTAAAAACGTATATATGTCTAACTTAATAAAAAGCTGTTTTCCAACATGGATGTTCTGGTGTGGACATCTGGAGTACTGGGGCTAACAACCCATTTGAGATGCCCACATGCTATATATCAGAGTGTTTACATTTACATTCTGCTTTATCCAAAATGCTGTCTTCATACTGAAGCATACCCTGGGAGACAGTAGATAAGGTTTACGTAGCTTGGCTTCTGCCACCCATGTTGGAGATTGGATGGAGTTCTCAGGTCCCAGCTTTGGCTCTGGCCAGTTCCCAGGCATTACACACATCTGGCAAGTTAATCAATCAACAGATAGGAGTTCCCTCTCTGTGTGTATCTTTCTTTTATCCTTCTGTCATTCTAAGTTTTTTTTTAATGGCACTCCCAATAGGAATATATAAGCATTCCAATGGTTCGACATCTTCATCTGCACTAGACATGAAAAGTTGTGTTTCTGAAAATCCATTCCTATAGGTATGCTGTGATACTGATTTAACTTCTATTTCCAAAATAACTGGTGAGGTTGGGGGTCTATCCAAGGACTATTGGCACCTGTGTTCTCTCCTTTGGTGAAGTGTCTCGTCAAGTCTTCCATTCACTTTGACTATGTCATTGTTTATTTCTTATTACTGAATTTTAGTAACACTTCACATATTCTGGATATGTTTTTGATAAGATATGGGTGTGGCAAATATCTTCCAAGTCTGTAGCTTGTCTTCATTGTTTAAAATCATTTTTTGTAACAGCACACATTTTAAATTTTGATAAAATCTACTTTATTACTATTTTAGGTATTGTATCTAAGAAATCTCTGCTTATCCCAAAGTCATAGTCTCCTGCTTTCATACCAAAAAAAAAAAAAAATCATAGTTTTAAGTTTTAGAATAGCTCTATGATATCACTGAACTTATTTTTACATATAGCATGAGAGAAATAGGAGAAGGCTGATTTTCTAGCATGTGGATACTCAACTGTTCCAACACTATTTTCTATCTGAACATTGTAAGGTATTCCTGGTATTATAAAGTATTCCAAACGCATTCTGTATTGCTTACTTGTGCTTTACTTCTGCTCACAGTATTTCCCATAGTAAGTACAAAAAGATGAGAATTGCTGTACGTCTTTTTACCCTTAGCTTTACAACAGTGAAGAATAAATTATGATAGTTTCTCTTTTTTATAACTCAACATCTCCAAATGTCAGATGGTACTTTAGAATTATGATATGAACGGCCCCACACAAGAATGAAGTATCATTATCTGGCTTGTTTAAAGTTCTTCATCTCTAAGACTGGGATAATAATACCAACCGTGAGGGGCTGTGAAGATTAAATGAGATTAGGGGTGTAAACATATCTAGAACAATCCTTGGAACACAGTAGGGACTCAATAAACACTAGTTCCTTTCTGCTCTTCCCCTGGACTATAAATGAGATATCAAAGCTAATAAATTCAACAATGAAGTATTTCCACTTATTTTAGTGGTATATTAACAGGTTTGAGCTAGTTATCAAAATAATGGAAAGGACAAAAGCACTTTATTTAGCATAGGGATGCATGAAATATAAATTAACGCAGTATCTGATAATGACTAATTACACTATAATTTTATGGCTCTGATTCTCTGAAACTATGCCTAGAAAAATGGATGGTAAAGTGCTAGGCCATTAGGTAACTGTCAAAACATTTTATGCTGAAGACACATATTTTGAAACTTGGAGTGAAATCTGGTCTTATAAAATTAAAACTGTGCTTCATAAAAAAGATTTAAAAATAGAAAAAGTATCTGCCTGGGCCTTTCTGAACCTATAATGAAAACATCCAGAAGACAAGAAAAAGACACAGGTGGGGTCATTATACTGCCCCAGGCACAAATGCTTTCTATCTTAAAATGTTGAATTCTTTCCAGATGCAAGTTCTAAACTTTCTGGCATCTGCTGCATAAACGCATCACGGCATTTGGCAGAAGTCAAGGGAAGCATTAATTTTGCATGAAAATCACTTAAGAGATCTTGGTTTAATTTTTCTCAAAAGACTACACAAGCAACTTGAGTGATGTAACAGTCTAAGATTTGTTGGCACTCTTGGCATAACAAATCTTACAAAACTTGTTTGCAAAAAATGCTCAAATATTAAGGTGCTGAAATTCTACAGAAATTGGAAAAATGTTCTGGCTTCTATATAATGCCATAATAATTTTTCTAAACACGCATCTGATACAGAATTCATATACATGTACATAGTACATACACAGAGTACTTGCAGCAAGAATACAACTGCATACTGCAGACATTTACTTGAGGTTAATGTTATATTTACTGAAACTGTATGCTTCTAGAACATTCTCATGAAATCTAGACTTATAAGCAAATGGTTCAAGAAATACCCAGTTTATCTCTTTCATTTATGGCTAATTTTTATCAAATGTGCCACAACAATTCAAGACAACAACAACCTAACAGTCTTCTTAATAACTGAATCTAGCATGGTGGTTATACATGCATAAAATGTGATTTT